AACATTACACATAACAGTTATCATAAGTGATAAGAAGATAAAGAAAATGTACATCAAACATTAAAAGGAGAAACCTTGGTTTGACCTGAAATAAAATTATTTTAGTGGGTAATTTGTAAACAAAATAAAAAAATATAGCTGTCTGCGATAAAAAGGCAAACAGCTGCATAAGGTCAGCTACCTGGCGTATAAGAGTTAACACACCTGAATTTAAAAGAAGAAGAAGAAGAAGAAATAAAAAATGAAAGAAAAAAGACTAAACACCTAGCCATCATTTATATAACTGTTGTTCTTTGTTAGACCTAATTAGCTTGTTAGTTGGGTTGAGAGAGAGGAGAGGAAGAGAATGGGAGGATAAATGTTTCCTTTCTCTTTTCTCTTTCCTTTTCATTTGAATAAACAAATATATTAAAAAAAATTTCTTTTTTTTCTTTATTTTTCATAATTCAAACATATTATTTTAATTTATTAATAAATAAATAATCTTGCATGTTAGGCTTAGGAATTTAAATCTTGACCTCAGCACTTAAAAAATGAAATTAATTTTTGAGAATTCATTCGGCGGATGTCTTTAAGGGTTTGATTGGTTAAAATACTATTTTATTAAAAAAATTTTGTTAAAAAAATTGTTAAGAAAGTATCGTATGAAAAATTATTAAGTTAACACACCAAAAAAAAAATTTACTAAACACCTGGTCATTATTTTATAGCAGTTTTTTTTTTTTTTTTACTATAGAAAACATGGTTAATAATTTAGCATCTGTTTGAGTATCGATCGATGAGTCAACTTAATGATTATAAACTATGCTCCACATTACTTCTCACACAGAAAAACCTGATCACTTGAGCCGCATGGAGAAATGCAGCAGTTGTTCTTTGTTAGACGTTAACTTGTTGGTTGGGTCGAGAGAAGGGAGAGGAAGACAACGGAAGGAGGAAAAATGTTTCCTTTCTCTTTTTTCTCTCCCTTTCATTTGAATAAAAAAATATATTTAAAAAAAATTCTCTTTTTTTCTTTATTTTTTATAATTCAAACATATTATTTAGATTTATTAGTAAATAAAAAATCTTGGATGTTAGTCTTAGGGTTTTAAATCTTGATCTCAGCACTTAAAAAAATGAAATTAATTTTTGAGTATTCATTCGCCTCAATGTCTTTAAGGGTTTGATTGGTTAAAATATTATTTTATTAAAAAAAATTTTATTGAAAAAGTTATTAAGAGAGTATTGTATGAAAAATTATTAAGTTTTGTAATAAAATTTATCAAGAGTTTTTTGAATTATTAATTTTATTGT